TCCAAAAAGTGGAAGATCAACTACTCCTAGTTTGATCCTACCTAGGGGTGGATAACCCTTGAGATACCTGATAGTTGCGGATCTTGTTTCGGATTCAGCAGCGTTAGTGCACTTTCTGATGCCAAACTCAACTATCTGAGCAATTAATGAAATGTGTGCTTAAATAAACTATTTTTTATTCAATCTGATCAATGACCAGTTCTTATATCCACCCGAAATCGACTTTTAGGAACGCCTACTATATAAAGCATCAGAATATCTTTAAAACAAGTTTAAAAATCTACCGCGAGAAATGTCTGTAATAGCCCAGCGTTTATTGATATCGGTGATTCAGTCAGTTGACGTCTGAAACTTCAGCAACTGACCGTTTGTCAGCGATAGAAATTTTTTGAACGCCTCAGGAATTTTCGTGTCAGGAACCGACATAATCTTCTTGGTGCCATTTAAATTTTAGCAAATGTCCATTGTATGGGTGCTCTGATTGAGTTTTGCTGATTTTCCCATTAGGATTGTTGGATAAATGAGCCCTAGAATATATTAAGAGCACAGCAAAAAGTCAATCTTTTGGTGCAGCAGTTAAGAAAACTTGGCCCCTCACGGGAGATGTCGAACATTGAAAAACGTTTCTTGATATATTTACAAATTACAGAACTCTGCTTTGACTGAAGGATTGCTAGCAACTCAAACTAAAACCTGAAACAAATTCAGAGTACGAAACTTTCAGGCGAATTGTTATTCGAGTTTGTTGTGCATTTTCGTAATCGTTAACGGACTCGCACAGGTCTCTGGTTGATTCTCAAGTTCATTTGTCAGATACTGTATTACAGGTACGTGTTAATCCTCCCACGGTAACTATATGTTCATTGCTTAAGCAACATCGAATAACGTCGCCTGTAGCTGGCGTCATGGATCCGACTGTTCTAGCAATACTGAGCATCGTCTTAACAGTCATCATAGTGTCGTTAATCCTTCTATTAGTGCCGCGCGAAAGATCATTCGAAGATGCGTTAGCGGAACAGAAGGGACTCGGCTTGCTGCTCGCTAGTGACAAGAAGGAATCCAAGACAAAAATCGCTAAGAAGAAAAAACAGGTTTTGAAGGAAGCTATAAAAAAAGAGGTAAGACGCGATGTGCTTTCGCGTTCTTATTTTCGGCTAAGAATTTTAAGATCCATGGATAAATCTTAGGCGTTCATCCATGCACGTGGATTCACACTTGCTTTTTTTTACTTTTCGAGACGGTGAGTGGATGTTCAACGATTTCAGTCAAAGATAATGTTACAACGTGCTGGTGACGTGTTTCAGAATGTGAAAATGTGTTTATCGTTTAATCTTGCGTTATACTCCAGCGCGGGAGGAGGTATTACTCTTGTCTTCATAATGCCACTTTAACCACTCTT